CATTAATACCTATTCTTCTCAAACTACTCCAAAAAATAGACGAAGGAAAACTTCCAAATTCATTCTATGAGGCCAGTATCACCCTGGTACCAAAACCAAAGACACCACAAAAAAAGAGAACTACAGGCCAATATCTCTAATGAACATGGATGCAAAAATCCTAACAAAATACTAGCAAACCAAATTCAACAGTACATTAAAAAAATAATTTACCATGATCAAGTGGGATTTATTCCAAGGATGCATGGGTGGTTCAATATTTGCAAATTAATCAATGTGATACATCATATCAACACGAGCAAGGATAAAAACAATATGATTACTTCAGTAGATGCAGAAAAAGCATTTGACAAAGCACATTCATGATAAAATTCCACAAAGTGGGTTTAGAGAGAACATGCTCCAACATAAAGGAGCCACATATGAAAAATCCCACAGCTAACATCATACTCAATGATGAAAAACTGAAAGCTTTTCCTCTAAGATCAGGAACAAGACAAGGATGTCCACTCATTACTTTTATTCAACAGACTGGAAGTCCTACCTGCAGCAATCAGACAAGAAAAAGAAATAAAAGGCATCCAAATTGGAATAACAAGTGTTGGCAAGGATGTGGAGAAAAAGGAACCCTCGTGCACTGTTGGTGGGAATGTAAGTTAGTGCAAACACTGTAGGAAACAGTATGGAGGTAACTCAAAAAATTAAAAATAGAAATACATATGATACCATATAATCCAACTACCCAAAGAAAAGGAAAACACTAATTTGAAAAGATACATGCAGCATTACTTATAACAGCCAAGATATGGAAGCAACCCAAGTGTCCATAGATAGATGAATGGATAAAGAAGAGTAGTGTGTATACACACACACACACACACACACACACACACACACACACAGGAGTATTACTCAGCCATAAAAAAGAATGAGATCTTGCCATTTGTGACAACATGGACAGACCTAGAGGGTATTATGCTATATGAAAAGAGTCAAACAGAAAAAGACAAATATCATATGATTTCACTTACATGTGGAATCTGAAAAATAAGACAAACATTCTTAAATATAGAGAACAAATTAATGGCTGTGGGGAAGGAGAGATGGGGAAAATAGATAATGGAGATCAAGAGGTATACTTACAAACTTCCAGGTATAAAATAAGTCATAGCGATGGAAAGTACTGCATAGGGAATATAGTCAATAATATTGTAATAACAGGAGCACTTGGGTGGCTCAATCAGTTAAGCGTCTGCCTTTGGCTCAGGTCATTATCCCTGGGTCCTGGGATGGAGCCTTGAGTCAGGTTCCCTGCTCAGCGGGGAGTCTGCTTAATCCCACACTCTCTGCCCCTCTCCCCTGCTTGTGCTCTCTCTCGCTTGCTCTCTCTCAAATAAATAAAATAAAATCTTTAAAAAAGTAATATTGTAATGGTAACTACACTTAATTATAGTGAGCACTAATGTATAGAATTGTCAAATCAACATGCTGTATACTTGAAACTAATGTAACATTGTATGTCAATCATACTTCAATAAAAAAGAAATGCCTTTCTTACTCTGATTTTAAAAAAAGAGAATATTTAACACATAATAGTTGTTTTCTTTCTTTAGAACTATATAGAACTAGAAGGAAACTCTGAGATCACCTAGCCGGCCAATCTATTTTACATTTAATATGTATGTATTCTTCAAAGATGTCCATGCCATTTTATGCCATACGCTCTTTTTATGCTCCTCCATCAGGGGTAGGGCCTATGTTCCCTCCACTTAAACCCAGGTGGACCAATGACTATGGTGCAAGTTGTACGTAACCTCGAAGGTGAGACCATAAAAGGCAATACATATTCCTCTAGCTCTCTTTCATGAGGCATGTATCTTGGGAGCCCTGAGCCAATATGTAAGATATCTAGCTACTCTTAAACCAGCACACTAGAGAGGTCATATAGAGAGACAACTGAGAAAGTAAGTGACTGAGAGCGAGAGAGACAGAATGAGAGTGCTGAAGAATCTTTCTAGCCCAGGTGTTAGACTTATCAGTGAGCCTTCAGATTTGTGAGATCCAGTATAGTAGCACTAGTCACATGTAGCTATTTACATTTCAATTAATTAAAACTAAATAAAATTTAAAAATCTATTTTTCAATCACACAAGTCATATTTCAAGTGCTCAATAGCCTCATGTGGCTAGTTTCTACTGCACTGCACAGGGCAGATGTATGTTTCTATCATTGTAGAAAGTTCTACAGAATAGTGCTGCTTCAGATAAGTCCAGCCCTCAGCCTTCAAGCTGCCCTAGTGCTGTGTGGTGCAGAGATGCGTTACCCCACCCACGCTGGCAGAATGCAAATTCATGGGCAAAATCAACGTTGTTTTCAGCCACTGATTTCTGGGGTGGTTACATAGCCATAGTAAGAGGAATACAAGGAAAATAAAGCTCAGAATGTGAAATAATCTGCTGGAATTTTGGAGACCACAAAATCAGTCAAATGGTGGAACTAATCACATTTTCCTTCAATGTCCAATAAGTGTTTGTGAATAAATGAATAAGAAAATCCCCAATTCTCAAGCCTGCAATATTTTTAGCTTCAAATACTCTGCCACTATGCACCAGAAGTGTTGTCTCTACCACTCCAGAAAAAGATTTGATAATTCCTGCCTCTGAAGGAACAACAGGAATCTGAGAAATGTTAGCATCACTGAATTAATGGTAAAGAAAACAAGTCCTAGCTTCTTTCCAATGAATTTACTAGAGTCACCATTTAACAGGTGAAGCTCACTCAATTTTCAGTTTTTACACTCATAGTAGTCTTTACTTTTTGAAGTATTTTGTATTACATATTTTTAAATTAATTAATTTTTAAAAAGATTCGATTTATTTATTTGAGAGAAAGTGTGCACAAGTGGGGGGAGGGCAGAGGGACAAGCAGACTCCCCGCTGAGTGGGGAACAGGATCCAGTACCCTGAGATCATGACCTGAGCTGAAGGCAGATGCTTAACCAACTGAGCCACCCAGGTGCTCCTACATATTTTTTAATTTAAAAGCAAAAGAAACAAACCAAAAACCTTTGAGGGTATTTATCAATATTAACCAAAAGCTATCTTTTTAAAATACTCCTTTACCAAGCAAGTTATTTTAATAAAATCCAATTTTTAATTATTTGAACTAATGGAAATTATAGATTTGGAGAGTCAAAAATAATGTGGCATTTAAGTGAAATTCTACCTGAACATGAACATAGCAATTGCTGCGATACTTTATTTCTAATAATAATAAAGCTACATTGAAGCAACATGGGAAGGGGCACCACTTCTCCATCAGACCAGAGCACAAAGCTGGACTTCACATACAGACTACAAAGTTTTCTGCCAGCATGAGCCTAAGTAGACATGCTATATCAAGACTTCCATGTATAAAATTAGATGATATTTAAAATTACTGTTAACTCTTTTTAAGATTATTTGGGGGTTTTTTTTGTTTTTGTTTTTCAGTAATCTCTACACCCAATGTGGGGCTCGAACTCACAATCCTGAGATCGTATCATGGTCTTCCAATGGAGCCAGCCAGGCACCCCGTAAATTGCTAATATCTGTGTTTTAGAGTTTTTATCTTTAAAATGTAGATATTAGAATTATGATAAAACAGTATCAGGAATTTGCCTAAAATTAAGACATAGCTGGGGTGGGCAGTGTAGAGGAACAGAGATGAAACATGGGTAGCCTGAGTTAATTGCAGGACTGCCCTTCACTATACTCCTCTCTTTTTCTATTTATGCTTGAAAAAATGTTCACAGTGAAAAAAAATAAAAACAAACCAACCAACAAATTTCTCTATTTCAATGTTTTGGTTTGAAATGCAAAGTAAGGGTAAAGAGAGTATGAGATGGTGGCAAACTACACTCAGACAAAGGTCAGGCTTGCAAGGATATCAACTATTAATGAGAAGGACCAAAATGTCCAAAATGAATACAAAATACCTCAAATCTATAAAAATCATTATCACTTAGAGTACATACACACAACTGCTCCATGTCAGAATTACAGCTGACTCATACCTTACACAGAATTCTAATATGTGTGGTTACCGGATTTCTTAGCCAACAACCAAAAATTAAAAGGGAGGCTAATAAATACAGACACACACAAAAGGCACAAGACTGCAGATGGTCTAACAGGATGAGAAAAAAGAGAACAGCTATATTAACACTAATTAACACAACTTTATGGAGTAATAACCAGTATGGTTAGTGGGAAGGCCACAGGCTTTGGAGTTAAAGACCTCATTCTACAGTCACTTACTAGCTACATGAACCTAACCAAATTACTTAACCTCAATTTTTTATTCAGAAAAATGACAGTGGTAGCTACATCCCTAGGCTTATCCTGATGACTGAAAGAGACATAATTGTCAAGTGTTTTGGAAGCAGATTCTCCACAATCTCAGCCGACAATTTGCCTGCAATCTTGTGAGAGACCCTGAGCCAGAACCACCCAGCTCAACTGCTCCTAGACTCCTAACCCTCAGACACTGCATGACATAAATGTTTACTGCATTAATTGCTACATTTGGGATAACCGTTGCACAGAATAGACAACTATTACTTTATAATAAGGGAACAATTTTTCTATTATTTGACTAGCTAAGTTTTTTTCTAAATATAGTAATTGAGCTTCTTTGGTATATAAACTAGATAATACAAGAAAACCCTTTACTTTATCTGACTGGAGTGCTCATCACTTTGTAATAGCATATTTATGAAACTGGATATTATTTTCAGCACCAAACTTCTTGAATCTGACCTTGGGAATATGCAAGAAAACTACCGGGGCAAAAACCCAGACCAGTGTGTCATGGTTCAGTACCTCAGGAGCTGACTTAATACTCAGGCCTTACACTGTAATACACACACACACACACACACACACACACACTATATCTGTATATATGCACTCTTTATCTCTTTTACATTTTAATATTAATAAAAGTACACTTAGTCCTACCTGAATGAGGCATTTGCTCACATCACTAGCACAGAGTGCTTTGTTACAACTCAGTGACACAGGGACCCATGTCAGGAATACCAGGATGGCTAGAGTAAGCATAACAACACAGTGTGTCTTCATGTTTCTTCAGAGACAATCAACTCCCAGGAAGCTAAACAAACAAAAAGAAAAAAAAACACCTTTAATTCAAAGGCAAGGGCTAGATTAAGAACACATACAGAAATGAAAAGCAAAACAAGACTCATTGTGTTAAAAGACTTTTGAGTGATCATTTAAAGGACACTCAATGAATGATTAAACAGTCAAAACAAACTACAATTTTTATATAAGTAATGTCTTGTCAGCCAACTTCATATACATATACATACACATATATGATATGTATATAAAAACCATCAGGTTACTGAGGCAAATAACTAGTTTTAATACTGTTCCACTACTATTCAACTTTAGTTTTAGGCCCATTATTCAACTCTAAACTCATATTTAAAACTATTAATATTGTATCATAATTTAAAACATTTAACACATTTTTTTAAAAGATTTTATTTATTTATTTGACAGACAGAGAGCACAAGTAGGCAGAGTGGCAGGCAGAGGGAGAGGGAGAAGCAGGCTCTCCGATGAGCAGCGAGCCGGACGTGGGGCTTGATCCCAGGACCCCAGGATCATGACCTGAGCCTAAGGCAGCCAGCTGCTTAACCGACTGAGCCACCCAGGTGCCCCAATTTAACACATTTAAAAAATGCAAATTATTCTAATGATTATTTATGACCATCTCATTTTATCTCTTAACATAATTAGCCAGAATGAAGCAGCTCAGAGAAAGGAGTTGACAGTCATTCCTTAAATAACCCAGCAAATAACAAAGGGGATAGTAAATTATTAATTGCATTAAGAACTCTTGAGTAATTTATTAAAATGTGAAGATATTCTTTTAATTCTACACCAAAGGTACCATAGATTCTTCAACATTATTAAGAAGATAGTACACTTTGAAAAAAAGAAGGAAAAAAAGACCAGCACAAATCCTGACAGTGGCTAAACCACAGACATGCTTATTAAGTTGTTTTAAAAGATATAACTTCTTGGCGTTAAAACAAACCCTCCCAAAAATATAATCAAGTAAAGTAAATGACTACTGATGTTGAATATATAAAAGGTGAGTTTATAGGGCCTTTATGATTACTGTAAACTTTTATTCTAAGTATTATAAAGTACAATAAAACAAAAGCAATAAGAAGGTGAAAAGAATAAAGGGCTTTGCACCCGGGATGACTCAATTTTCAAAGAGAAAGCCCTGGTGACTGTTACTGAGGCCCATAAACTATTCTTAAAGACCGTTAGTAACCCAATTTTCTAATTTATTTAACACCACATACACAGTCGGATGATTTCTGGTGCATATTCGTGGGGGCCAAAGAAGGTATTTGAAAAGTGATTTTTATCCATAACTAGTTATCCTACACTCACTAAAAATGGGATTTTTTTTTCCATCTCTTCTGATTGTCTTCATACTACTCCCAAAATCTTACTGGAATAAGTATTCAAGTAAATAAGGGCATATATAAAGCAGGTAACAGAATTATTTAAAGGGCCTCCCTTTTTTTTTCTAAGGAGTGAGGAACGATACCACAGCGGAACTGTCTTCCTACGTCGGGACCAGTTTCTCAGGCTCTGGCGACCTGTGTGTGGTCCCAAGGGGGATGGCACTGACAGCAGCCTTTGTGCGCTGCACGGAGCCCCTGCTGCCGGGTGAGGAGGCAGAGGCTACGGCGGCTCTTCACCCTCGGCTCACCGACGCGCCGCTGACCAGCGAGGCAGAGGAGAGGGCCGCTGAGGTGCCGCCGGCCTGCATGCCCGCGCCCAGCACCCACCGGGCGGCGCCCCCACTCTGTCCTGCGCGTAGGCGGGGCCCAGGCCGCGCGGGAGCTGCTCCGTTTCTCCCGGCCCCGAGAGCCCGCCGCGGCCTCGGCCTCCAGAGGCCGGTGCTCTGGGCCCGGACCCTCCCCGGCCGCAGACCCTGCCCCGCCTGCTCCCGCTCACCGTGCGCCGCGGCGCCGCGAGGCCGCCTGGCCCTCGTTCCCCCGCAGGTCGGCCGAGCTCTGGGCGAGCCGCGGGGCTGTGCGAGGGAGGCAGGCCGCGCCTCCGCGCCGTCCCTCAACGCAGCGCCCGCGAGCCTCGGGCACCTTAAAGAGACAGGCCCGCCGCCACCCTTCCCCCACCCCCACGCAGTTTCCCCTGTCCCTCCGCCCGCCTTCGTTTCCACGCTGCCGCCAGCTCCCGCCAGGAGGCGTCTCTCACTCCCGGGGCGCTCCTGTCAGCGCACGCCCCGGGCCCGCCCTCCCCGCCTGCGGCCCGCCAGGCCCACCGCCCCGCCTCCAGTCTGGTCCCGGCGCGGCCCGCACGAAGGCCCCGCCCCCGACTGGGACCCCGCCCCGCTCACGCACGAAGGCCCCACCCCGCCCTCCGGTCACGCCCAACAGAGGCCACACTCCCGCCCCCAGGGACACCCACTCGGGCACCCACGCGCGCCTTGCCCCCGCCCTTCCCTGCCCCCATCTTGGATTTCTCTGTCGCCTACCTGGGGCTGCGGCTTACTTTCTGTGAGGCCCAGTCTCTGCGCTTGGCCTGTGTTCTTCACGGAGCCGAGAATGCGACGTGCATTAGCTCAGTGACTCCCCACGGCAACCCTGTGAAGCAGCTGTATCTGTCCGTTACGGGGATTCAAGACCTAGTGGTGGAGCAGCCCAGCCCGTTACCCTTGAACTCTTGTTAACTGAGGTTGGAGGCAGGATTTATTTAAACTGCACGTTTCTGGGCTCTGTCTCAGACCTACTGAATAAGGATCTGCTAGGGTAGAGTCTTCGTTCAGCACTTCACTAAAATTTGCTGCGCGCTCAATGAGTGCCTGGCACTGGGCTTAGCACGGGAAATAGAAGAGAGGAGGCGCCGTGGGTGCTGTTCAGGAAGGAGGCCACTGGTCTTCGGAGAGGATGGACAGACGGCTACACAGATGGCTACAGCGCACCACCGCAATCCTCAGTCGGAGAGGGCTCCAGGAGCATGTATGACGCAGCACTCATTTCAGCCGGTACTTTAGAAGAATGAATTAATTCCACCGACAGTAAACATGTAAATAAAGGCATTTGAGATTTATGCTCAGTTCTTTCCCACAACCCTGGGAATTTGCTTTTTAAAAAGATTTCAAAGTGATTAAGTTGGAGCCCATTGAGCTAGACGAGCCACAAGGTACTTTCCCCTTGGAAATGGTGACCTAGTGATAAAGTCTTCAACTAGTAGTCAAAACAGAAAGAATGGAAAGTGTTGATTGGCTGAGGGGGTGGATTACATTAATGATGTTAGTCCATTTTTGTACAGTAAGTGAATAAGTATGCATGTTAAAAATCATCCCTGAAAATTATCTTAAAGACGTAATTAAGAGTGTACACAAATTTAACTTTAAGGATCTTATTCTTTGGCATTACTTACTAATTAAATGAATTGTGATACTCCAGTGCAGTGAACTAAATCAGCTATTAAAACATGATATTGTGGATCAGAGGTTCTCACATTTTTGGTCTCAGGACCCCTTTACACTCTTGAAAAGTACTGAGGACACCAGAGAGGTACTTTTGTGTGTTCTGTCTATCAAAACTTCTTATATTAAAACTGAGAAATGTAATGGGGCATCAGGGTGGCTCAATCAGTAAAGCCTCCCACTCTTGGTTTCAGCTCAGGTCATGATCTCAGGGTGCTAAGATCAAGCCCCAAGTCGGGCTCCATGCTCCTCACTGAGTCTGCGACTGCATGAGATTCTTTCCCTCTTCTTCCCCCTCTACCCCTCCCTCCACTCCTTTCATGCCTGCTCTCTATCTCTTAAATAAATAAAATCTTTTTTAAAAAGAGAAATTTAAGAAATATCTGTTGTTTCACTTAAAAATAATAGACTCTCTTGTATGGTAACATGAACAACATTTTATGAAAAATAAGTACATATTCAAAAACAAAAAAATGGCATTATTTTACATTTGTGCTATTCTGCTTAATGTCAAAGTTAATAAAAGGCAGCTGGATTTTTATGTCTGCTTGTGCATTTATACTGTTGCAATATCGTGTATTATGTAGCCTCTAGGAAACTTGTGACAGGAGAATGAGAAAGGCAAGTAATGTTTTAGAATTTAAATAAAAAGAGTTTGAAGCTCATGAACCCCCTGAAAAGGTCTTGGGACTCCTAGGGTCCCCAAATTACACTTTGAGAATTAGTATTGCAGATGAATATTGTTGGCATGGAGATATTCATGATATATCAACATTTTAAAGTAGTGGATAGGGGTGCCTGGGTGGCTCAGTTGGTTAAGTGTCTGCCTTCAGCTCAGGTCATGATCCCAGGGTCCTGGGGTCAAGTCCCGCATCGGCCTCCCTGCTCAGCGGGGAGCCTGCTTCTCCCTCTCCCTCTGCTTGCTACTATGCCTGCTTGTGTGCTCTCTCTGTCAAATAAATAAATAAAATCTTAGAAAAAAAATAAAGTAGTGTATATATTTTTAGAATGATTAATATTAAAGTAGTGTATACAGTTATTTTCCCAGTGGGGAAAACTACTCTGTCTCCCAAGGGGCCAGCACTTTAGGGGCTGGGGATTCTGTTTTGGAACCCACAGTCCCATTCTCAACCTCTCTCTACTTGGCTGACTCAACTAAATGAGCCGATCTGGTTTTACAGATCTGAATTAAAGTGAGCCACAGCCTATCAGCCTCCCGGCCTGCTGTTGTGGGAGGGAAGATCTACTGGGGATGGAAGGCCCATTTGAAGAGAAACCTCCTTTCTCCATCATTCTCTTCCCTTCTAGCCTTCCTATTTGTTCTGTTATGGATCTACCGCAAAGCTATCTAAAGAATGAGGAAAGAAAATGGATTTCTTGTGTGCCTGGGTGGCTCACTGGGTTAATCGTCTTTAAGCATCAGACTCTTGATTTTGCTCAGGTCATGATCTGAGCGGTCATGAGTTTGAGCCCCTCATCCAGCTCTGCCCTCAGCATGGAATCTGCTAAATTTCTCTCTTTCCCTCTCCCTCTGCCCCTCCCTCTGCTCATGCACCCATGTGCGAGAGCTCTCTCTCAATAAATACATACTGAACGTTTGCATCAATAAATAAATTAAAAATATCTTTTAAAAATAGTAATAAATAAATAAATAAATAAATTCATTCCCTTGCCGTTACCTCTGCTATGAATGGTTGTTGATCCACCAGGTAAAAGGAACAGTACTCCTCCGCATGGGAGTGGGGAGTAAGGGGCTGGGGTGGGCGTGCCAAGGGGCTGCAGGAGACCCAGCAGACCACTGGGGAAGCATGCAGACCCCACCTGCTTGGAGAAGATGTTATTTCAGCAGAGATTTGCAAAGGGCTATCAAGGACTATTGAGATATTTACAAAGCATTCTCAAAAGCCCCTAAGGCTTCCCAAAATTCAGTATTTACACGTGGCTCATTATTGCTTACCAAATTAGGTCTAAACTCTGTAACTTATTTATTTAAAATATTTATTAATTTATCTTAATTTACCTTTTGTCCCCTTCTCATCATGGAAGTAATACATGCTTGCTGGGGAAAAAATGTTAAATTATGGAACTTCATAATGAGTGCCCCTTGCCATTTTAGCCCCCAGCGGTTGCTCCTAGTTTTGAGTATATTTCTTCTTTTTGTAGTCACATACACTAACATATGTTTGTGAAAAATGAAATTATGTTAAGAATACTTCACTACAACTTGCTTTTTCCACTTAGCATATCTAGAACATCTTTTCATGCCAGTATATGCAGATCTTTTTTGATGTCACACAAATATTCTCCATAAGCTAAGCTGGTTTATTTTCACACTTTGTATTTTTCCAGTCTTGTATTTCTGTACATTCTTCTTTTTGCTCAGGACAGGATTCTTACTTTTTTTTCTAGCTACATAAATCCTACCCACTCTTGAAAGCCTGTTCAAATATCACCCTATTCAGATATCAAAAATCATCTTCCATGACTCAACACAGTGCCTGGCACATAGTAGGTGAATGAATTGATTAAAGGAATCACTTTCCTGGCTAAAGGCCCCAATAGCCTTTGAGCTCCTAAAGCATTTATTTGCACTGACATTTCACTATTATTGTATATATGTTTTGTTTGCTCAACTAATTTTAGAAGCTTCTTTAGGGCAGGAATCATGTCTTTAATGTCTCATTTTGCTGTGTGCAGGGATTCTCAGGCTCTTGGAAGATCTGCAAAAACTAGGACCAGTGGTCTCACCTGTATTAGCCAAAATGACAACAGTAATGAAGATGTGAAAACAATTAGTGAAAAAGATAAGGATGCACAGAGTCAAGAACTTAATGGTTACTTTAAGAAACAAGGAAAAGCAGGGGCATCTGGGTGGCTCAGTCAGTTAAGCGACTGACTCTAGGTTTTGGCTCAGGTCCTGATCTCATGGGTCATGAGATTCAGCAGGCCCATGACATCAGGGAGTCTACTTGAACTTCTCTCCCTCTGCCCTTCCTCCCACTCCTGCATGTGCCTGCATTCTCTCTCTCTCAAATAAATAAATAAATAAATAAATAAATAAATAAATAAATCTTTAAAAAAGGAAGGAATGAAGGAAGGAAAGAGAGAGAAAGAAAGAAAGAAAGAGAGAGAGAAAGAAAGAAAGAAAGAAAGAAAAGAAAGAAAAGAACAGAAAGAAAGAAAAGGAAAGAAAGAAAGAAAAGAAAAGAAAGAAAAGAACAAGCAAGCAAGCGAGCAGAGATCAGTGGTGCTTGGAATAATCAGAAAGACTTCCTGGAGGCTTATGCTTGGTCTGAAGGGAAGTTCAGACTTGAAGGGGCAGAGAGGGGGATTTGGGGGTGGAGGTGATGAGAGGTGAGTGACCAGAGTGGGGCTGGCTGGGAGGAGGAGTGTCCTAGCAGCAAACCACCCAGGACAGCCTCAGTCCCTCAGTCCTCAGAGCTGCACCACCTTACAAGAGAGGAGCACCAAGTACCTAAGAACTTAATGTTGTCTGTGTGTGTTAAAATTCATGTAAGATAAAATTTATCATTCTAACCACTTAAAAGTATATAATTTGGTGGCATTGAGTATAGTCACAATATTAAGCAACCATCACCACTATCAAATTCCAGGACATTTCTCTCACCTCAAAAGGAAACTCAATACCCATTAAGCAATCACATAACCCCCACCCCACCTTGGCAATCACTAGTCTATTTTCTGTCTCTATGGGTTTGTCTCTTCGGGACATTTCAGATAAATGGAGTCAGACAATATTTGGCCTTTTTATCTGGCTTCTTCACTTAGCGTAACGTTTTCTTTTCTTTTAAAAGATTTTATTTATTTTTTAGAGAGAGAGAGCAAGAGCAGGCGGAATGGCAGAGGAAGAGAGAGAAGCAGATTCTCCACTGAGCAGGGAGCCCAACATGGGGCTCGATCCCAGGACCCCAAGATCATGACCTGAGCAGAAAGCAGATGCTTAACTGACTGAGCCACCCAGGCGCCCCTGAACACTTGCTTTTAATTCCTTTGTGTATATAACTAGGAGTGGAATGGGTCATACGGTAACTCTATGTTCAACTTGTTGAGAAACTGCAACGCTGCCTTTCACAGCAGCTGTGCCATTTCACATTCTCACCAGCAATGTATGAGAGCTCCAATTTCTCCACATCCTTGCCAGCATTCATATTTTCCATAATTTTGATTATAGGCATCCCAGTGGGTGCAAAATGGTGTCTCATTGCAGTGCCTAATTATTTTTTTTCATATGTTTATGGCTTGCTTTTTCCAGGAAGGATTGAAAGAAGCTTAGAAAAATACAAATGATACAGGAATGGTCAAATAACCACATAGGGAATTTGAAAGGAAGGAACATAAGGTCAAGAGA